TTACCATTAAATACGAACGAGCATGAATTGGATCGACCATAAATGGTTACATCTAAATCGAACAACCAAGGCTGACCAAGAATGACGTGACCGACATCCATGGGAATGACGTCACACCATATATGATCCTTATACTCGAGAAACTGAATAGGCACCACACAACGTTCCTTTACATCTATCGAGGAAGTATCAACCCAAAAGACGCTATATGGTTGAGGGTGAGGTACAGATTGCAACCTCAGGCGGGCTACAGTAGTCATCGACACCGCATTAATGCAACTACCACTATCCACTATGACTTTACATCCTTTATTATTGATCTTGATGTAAGTGTGGAAAATGGCATGACGTCGCCAATCATCAGCATTTTTGGGCTGAGTCAGGGTACAACGTACAACACCCAATCTCGACGTGTCTGGGATAAGTGGCCTTGACTCTAAGTCCACCGGAAGGGTTCGAATACAACCTAAAAAGGTATCTTCATTATCATCCAAGTCCTCAAACTCTTCAGACTCAGGCTCATAAACTTGATTCTCCAACGAGTCATCGACTATACCCTTACGTTCCTCCATAACTAGGGCTCTACTAGGACAGTTAGAGGAAATGTGATCGAATCCCTTACAGTTAAAGCATTACAAGTGGGAGGACGTCCTTCAAACTTCAGGGCATTTATCTTTACTTTTCCCTATAAGAAGAACCTTAGACGAGGGTGGCTCTAGGATAGACTTAGGGGAAGGAGTGGGCGCTAAAGAGATAGGGGTATGGTTGTCACCACGATTTTTATACGGGACTCTAGTAACTAACTCATAGTCTCGGACGAAAGAATAAGCATGGTCAAGAGTAGTAACATCCCCAAGGACAAGCTAACGTTTAAGATCATCTCTGATGCCTTGCCTAAAAATACTTAAGGTCTTGGCTTCATCCTCAATGACCTAACATCTTATTCGAATTCATCAAACTGAGTGATGTACTCAATCACTGGCCGATTGCTTTGCTTAAGAGCATTCCATTGATCCAACAAATTAACCCTATACGATTGGGGTAAGTACTTCTCTTGAAGTCGACACTTCATTTCATCTCAACTCCCAATAGGAGGAGTACGAAGTCTCTCAAAGAGCTCCTCGACACTTTTCCATAAGAGTTGAGCGGTGCCAATTAACTTCAGACTAGCAAATTGAACTCTCCTGTCTTTTGGAACCCCATACCAGGCAAAGAAACGGTTCATATATCTAAGCCATTAAGTAAATACCCTAGGGTCTAAGTAACTATCTAAGGTTGGGGCATCTAATTTAATGTTTCTAAAGAAACGTTCATTGAAATGGTCCTTATCTCTAACCCATTGAGTAAATACCCGAGGGTCTAAACAGCCATCAAAGGTTTGGGCATCCAGTTTTATGTTTCTAAAGAAACGTTCATCGTGGCGACGAAGAGACTAAGTATCGTGACTGTGATGTTCTTGCTCCCATTCTTGACCTTGATGTCCACTTCGATCATGTCTAATGTGTTGTCGACCTCCTTAAGGATGACGATAATGCCTATTAACGGACCTTCTGAGTTTTTAGCTTCAGTCGAATATGGGATTTGCTCAAAGGTGGACAACCTAGCAGCTAAGTCTCTATTCTCTTTACGAGTAGCAGTCGTCTCAGTTTGGACAGCCGCTAATTGTGTTTGTAACTGCTATTGGTTAGTGGCAATTTGTGCTAATTATCGGATGATGGAATCAAATTGGGATGAGTCCATGGTCAAACTGGAACTAGATATGACAAGACGACCACTGTGCAACTACATGTGATGTACTATATGCTAAATGAACTGTACTGGAATTAGATATGACAAGAGGACTACAGTGCAACTGCATGCAATGTACTACCAGCTAAATGAAGTGTATGGAGAGATCAATAAACAACTCGTTTTAAAAGTGAAAATAACGACCAGATCAAATTTTCTTTTGGGGATTATGTATATCTAAATATGGTAAGTTAATACCACTGATCTATGTAAAATAACAATGCAAGGGACAAATAATAAAGCAATGGTCAAATACTAATAATCAATTTAATCACGTAAAATAAGTAGGATAAAAGTGGGAATATAACCTGGTTATGAATTAAAATAAGTAGGATAAAAGTAGGACTATAACACAGTTAGGGATTTAGGGACGTGAATTGAAGATAAAAATTAAAATAATAGCAGTACAAAAATTTAATTGATGCAATTTTAAAACGAAGGAGTATTATAAAATAAAGATAGAGAAATAGTAGCTCCCCTTTATTCATTGAGGTAACTGAGCACCAAAGACAAAGAAACAGTAGCTCCCCGTTTTATTTGTTGAAATAATTGATCCAATCAACAAGTCAAAAAGAGGTACCTACAAAAAATGTTAGAAAGTACTTTTTTTTTACACTTTTTTTACTATTTTTTTTTGTTATTATATATCAAATAAAACTCTTAAAAGTGACACAGCCCAAAATAATAAGATAGAGGCAAAGGCCCAAAATAATAAAATAGAGGCATAGGCCCAAAAGGGGATTTGGGCCAAAACTCCTCCCACAATCAGACCCCGTGCCTTTGGGTTTAGAGGAGCTGTGGTTTTGGCCCGTGTCTCGATTCTCTTTGCTCTCCTCCTTTGTTTCTTAGCAATTGATATGACTTCGCGACTGAGGAAGTGGTCGACGAGGTAGGGTCGGGTTTGGAGTGAAGGAAACAATAAAGAACTAGGCAGAACTAATAACGCAACGAACTTACAAAACAGAATAATGTCACTACAATATATAGATCGACAACAAAATTAACATAAGCGATACTGACTTGAATTTCAGATTGNACAAAACAGAATAATATCACTGCAACATATAGACTACAAAATTAACATAAACGATACTGACTTGAATTTCATATTGAGGCTAGCACAACGCTATGTCCTATAGCAGAAATTCGCCCCTACTCCTGTGCTTGTAGTTCGATGAGCGTCTGCCCCAAGGCTCATCTTTTGACTATATAATATATATATTTATATAGCCTATCAAGGAGCCCAATCAAGCCCAAATCATATGGGTCAAACCCAAAGCCCATTTGAGTGGTCTTTTATCCAATTTATCAAGGATATAACTTTCACACTTATAAACAAGTTTTTCTTTCTATTCATATCCTATGTGGGACAAACAACAACATCCAAAACCTCTATTTCTATACAAACTCTCCAACATGGAGTGGCGGCACTTGCTGATGATGAAGACGCTGTCAGGGGCGGGAATGGATTAATCGAATCGGATTAAGATAAATGTGGGTTTGTCTATATGGATTTCGATATTGTGGAAGTAGGAGTTAAGGTATTAGGTAGTGATGCAGGGGCAATCGGCGGTAGTGAAGGCTCACAACGTCGATGTGTGCGTTTGGTCGGTATGTGTTTTCTGTGTATGGATATTTTTACAGTAGCGGATTGGGTGTTCGTGTGGTGGAATTGGTTGTTGAATTTCAGCAGCAGGTGTATATGTTGGTTGAATATATGTAATGGATGAAGAAGAATTACCCAGGTTTTACTCTGTAAACGGAGATGGCTACACATAATAGATGACTGAAGATAGGTGAAGATCGCTGGAGAGTCGCAGCTATGCTGATACAGTGAAGAATTCCCAAGTTTAGCTATGATACCAATTTCATGTAGTATCACTTGAAATTCAAGCCAAGAATTTATAAGTAGTAGTAGAAAAAAAGAACAGGAAGAAACAGACGACAGAGAAGAAAAGAAAAGTCAAGGAAAATGGGGAAAAACGTAGGTTGCTGCCATCGAAATTTTATCAATTTATTAATTGTCCCGACTACAATAAAAAATCCAATAAATAGTAAAATATAATCTACTAGTGACAGGTTTGGGTCAACCCACTACTACATGCCCAATAATAAAAAAACATAAATAATAAAAATCAACAATAAAATAGATCTTGATGTCCGTATTACTTGGCAACTGGTGGGCAAGGATCAACAACTAGAGCTCCAGTTAGGTATAAAAATAATGTTTTCATTGGAAGTTGTAAGCATCACATACGGCAAGCTATAAGAGCGTTATCTACAGCACCAAATTATCTAGATGATTACTCTAATGGTGTATATCACTGACAAGATGGGGATATTGTAGAAAATCATCCTACTATTTTTGCCGTACGAGAAGCACAACTATTGTGGCCTAATGCTAAAATTGGTTGCTTAGTTTCAATTGGTTACGGACACATTCCAACCAAGTTCACAGGGGTGGCTGGTGTTATTGGGAACTGGACAAATTTTGATTGAGAATGCATTCTCTGTTGATCGTGTGAAGGAAGCTCTGAGCGTATTGCTTCTTATGCTGTTGAACGTATAGTATTTTTCGATTCAATCCAATGGATGAATGCTGTGGTATAGAACCAGATGAAACTGATCTAGCAGTTTGGCGAAAGCTAAAGGATGCTACAGATGAGAATACAGTTCAGAATCAGATCGAAGAAGATGAAAATAGAACCCCTAAAGATGAAAAGGAAAATTTTGAGAAAGAATTGAGGCCAAATGATATGATTCCTGATGAAGATGCCAAGTATAAGTCTGAATAAGATCACAAAGAAGCATGTGCCACCTTGCAATACTTGCTTAATCCAAGGGTAGTGAAGCGAATGGTACAGCTCATTAAAGCAGTTCCAGCTACTTCTTCAATAGCAAAACAAAGTTCTCAACCATCAATTCCAGGTCCTCCCTTGTCGCCGCCACATTATCAGGGTGGAGCTCTACAATTAGGAATGGAATTCAGTCAAGGTGGAAGCTTGAAGCAAATAGATAGAGATTTCCATGTATGCCACATTAGGAACACATCCTCCAGGACCATCCCTGTTCCCTATTCAGATGAGTCTTGGCAATCAGCCTCCTCGACCACCATCATTGAGTCTTGAAATGGAAAAGACATTACTTGAACTATTATGGTCCCACCCTATAAACCTTGAGGACAATTTTCATTTAAGAGGAAGGATTGTCATGTAAAGAGCCAATGGAGAGGAAGAAAGAAATGAATAGAATGAGCCAACCGAACTTAATTGGAGCAAATGAAACGACGTCGTCTGGGTGAGTAGAAACGGTGCCTTTTTGTCTTAATTGAATTGTATTAAGTTAGTTAAGACATGCCTTTTGCATTTTGTCTGGAGAAATGTGTTTTCCTTGTTTTGGAAGACTATAGATACAGAATTAGGGAAAGATGAATGGCAACTTTTGTAATCTGATCATTTAAGTGAAATTTGTTGAAATCGTTTAACAAGTTTTCTCATATCCTTCTTCTAATTTTCTCTTTTACCTTCTCTCCAATTCTATTTTCATTTCAGTTTGGTTACCATTTCAACCGATTATAGCTGTAACATTCCATTGTCTGAGTTACGGTTGCAATGAGTATCAAAGCTAAGTTCCAACCATGACAAATCTACTATCTATGCCAGCTATTTAGACTACAACCTTACAAACTCTGATCTCTTCACAATATTCTCCACCTTTGGCAAAGTCACCAAAGCCACCATCCTCAAGGACCGTGCCACGTACCAGAGCCGTGGGGTAGCATTTATCCTATTCATCTCACACGATGATGTGATAAAGGCCATTAAGGGAATTGACAAAAAAATTCTCAATGGAAGGACACTATGCACCTCCACTGCCACAGACAATGGTCGTGCTTTGGAGTTTATTAGGAAAAAGGTGTACAAGGATAGAGTGGGTGTTATGAGTACGGTAAGGAGGGGCATTTGTCGTATTTGTGTCCGGGGAGTGTCTTGAGGGAGAGGGTATGACCCGTGGCCAAGGAAGAACGGGGTTCAGGTGGTGGAACTGGATGCAAAAAATGTGATTGGGATGATGAAGGAAAGGATGATGTTTTTGAGACATAAAATTAGGCTTCAGCAGTGGATGGTGAAAGGGCGGAGGAGAATGTTGAGAAATGAAAGAGAAACGGATGAGGTAAAGAAGGAAAAGAGGAGAAGAAGAAAGGATATTTTAGTGATGAGTAAGAGTGAATATTTTGGAAAAGAAAATGGAATTTATTCATTTGGTTAAAAGACGTGAAGATTTAGTCAGTTGTTTAAGATGTTGAAGTGCAAGATTACTTGCTTATAATGATGTTATATTGAGATAAATTGATTTTAGTCTTCTATTATTTTCTTAATCTAGATATTTGGTTGATTCGACATTAATTGCGTGTATTGGAGTAAGTAAATATCTATCATCGGGTTTATAATATTATGTTATGGATGATCAGTTGACTACCGCAGTTGATTATAATTTGAGCTAATGTTGAGAAGTAGTATCGGACGAAGTGGAAATTTGGCCAACCTTAGATTTTGTGGAAACGGGGCTTAATTTCTCATCGTTAGATTTTTTTGTTAACTTAAAAGCTTCTAATATTTTACATTTGTTGGATACTGTGGGGATGAAGCAACCTTTACACCCCTTCTTTAGGTACATTCTTAGGCACTACAACTTGGTACTCACCCAACTAATGCCAAACGCATGGAGCTAGTTAGAAGGAGCATTTCTTCTTTGTAAGGAGGTCACTCTTGGCGAGGATATGCCCCCACATGTTTTTCAAACCCTCTTTCAACCACCGAGCCTCTAATGGGTAAAGTGACTACAAGGGGTGGTACTCTATGAATCCTTAGGGCCCGCACTCTCCTTTCATCTGGGGGACCCCAACCTCCATCAAGAATTGGAAGTCCTCCTAGTTTTGGGTTAGAGGTTGCTGGCAGACAATGGAGAAAGATGCGGTCCTAGAGATCACCATGCCAACCTAGTACCATGAGTATAGTGAGTCGAACCTTCATCTAGTGTGACATTTCTCTTGTGCGTTTGCTCCCTCTCTTTTTCTGTGTGTCTAATGTAAGCTTTGTATAATTGCAGTTAACTGGTTCGAACTTGAGCCGTCTGAGTGGAGCATCATAAAGGCCATTTACGAGCTGCCTTCAGAGAGGAGGTCTTTCAAAAAGGTCATCGGCAAGCGGAATCTTTTTGTTACACACAAGCTGATGGCTACCAAGGGTAAGGAAGCTCTTAGCTATTCCTCTTATTATGTGAAGTGTATCTTTTTGGGCTTAACTGCTAACTCTTTGCCCTTTGTTTGTAGGTCAACAGATAAGAAAGAGTATGTCAAGTCAGACATGCTTTTTATGAGGCGCCTAGGATAGGTGAAAAATAAGAAGTCCTTGGAATCCACTTCCTCAACTTACAAGAACCAGCGAAAAAAGCCGGCCCGCCTCTCAAAAGCGAATCCACCACCTCCTCTAGAGAAAAAGGGAGAAAAAAGAGAGAATGAATGTCACGCGTTGTCTATAACGTGAATTATACCGCAAGTATACGGTATTAAGTTTTGTAATATAGTATGAAAGTTAGGATGTCGAACCTACATGAATTGTAATTTAATTTCTACCAAGTATTATAATTGTATAACTTCTATTTTATCTAGACAAATGAATGATTGAATGATTTTTTTTAAACTAATCAAAGGTAAAATGCTACGACAAAATTAGAGAATATAAATTATCAAAATGAGAAAGCCTAGGAAATGATTTCACCAACTTTCAATTATGATTCAATAACATCAAATTATTCAAATTAATTTTTCCATATTTAAAAGGAAGAATCTAATTGTATTTCTCTCCCCCTCTCTCGAGTGCCGCCTAGAAATTAATCCTACAATTCAATCCCAATATCTATATTCCGAATTAAAGCCTAGAATTTATCAAAGTCTCGATTCTTTTGTGGAGTAATCTTCATATATTTTACACTTTCTCTCGAAACCCATAAAACCTACGTTGTGTCAATCTTATGATCACGCCAAAATTCTCCTCTCTCAAGTGTTGGAATTAACTAGCATCTATTCATTCAATTATTGATCAGGTAATTGAAAGCATTATAATCATAACACAATTAAATATAAGTGGGAAATTTCAAAAGAAATAATTCATATATTCATCAAACCATAATCTCAAGTTGACTACATCAAACCCTAGCTAAATTATTTAGCTCATGAAAAAATTCATAAAATCTAAACAATCTACAATGGAAAAAATAAAGGAGAAGGTAAGAAAAACTCTTTTTGGAGTGTTGCTCGAAGTCCCCTTTGATATTTCATTGCTTTCATCAATTGATTTCTTCCATTCTTTGTGTTACCTCCTAAGCCATCTTCTCCCATTTGAATTAGGTTTTCAAACTTGTATTTATAGCCTCAATAGATAATAACACGGATTGGAGTTGGGCCGAGCCGAAAAAATATAAAAAATTGTGTTTTTTTTCCTTTTCTAGGGTCGCGGTGCCTGGGCGCCACCTATTCTGCTGATTTTCAGAATAGTGGGCGACTAGACGCCCAATTCAGGTAAAAATGGCAGCTACACCTTCCTTCAGTATTTTTATCATAACTTTTTATTCTGATATCCAATTGAGATGATTCAAGATGCGTTGAAAAGATAACTCAAAGGGATACAACTTTGCTTCATATATTGTTCTCCAATTCGATCATTTACTATGCCACAAATGGGTCTCAATATGAGACTAAAAATTCGGAGCATAGCTTTTCGGTTGGAAATTGATTTGTGATCATATTTGGACTAAATTTGATCCCTTTGACATCTCTCCTCATCTAGTTAGCCCTTAACACTCTCCAATCTTCATCATGAGGATCGGTACAACTTTTGAGTATTTACACTTTAGTCCCCGAACTTTGGATCTCTTATAATTTAGCCATTTTCTCCAAAATTGTCAACTTTTGCTTATTTTTTTCAATCTCACCAACCTACAACACATCATAAAAACACACATAAAAACACTCTAAAACTTGTCAATGGTAACAAAATAATGAATTAAGTGGCATAAATATCATGAATATGGAGCACTCATCAATGAGAAAGAAGGAAAAACTTCCCTAGAGAGGCCACTAAAAAGGAAATTGGTCTTATCAAAGAATACCAAGCCTCCCCCTCTCCCTAAGCATCAGACAACCATTGGGGAGTCCCTGCGACGGCCCATTGTAGCAGAGCCCATATCCTCTGTGAAAATTGTAAATGTTGAGTAGGCGGCAGAAGATGAGGTAGGCCTCGTTAAGCAGAGACGGGGCAAGGAGGTTAGGAGTGCCCCCTCTGAAAGCAAGGCTTAAAACTTCCATCACAAATATTGGACTGATAAGTATTTTTCATATGTCGAGACCTGCAATGCGGTTGACATGGTGGAGGCTAGGCTCGCCCTGTTGGCTCGCTCTCAGGGCTTCTTTCTAAATGGTCAAATGAAGATGAGGGGACTACATGGCCTCAACAAAGAGTACCTTCAGAGGGCCAATGACGCAAAAGTGGCCCTAAAGAAAGCAAAGACTGAGACATTTTTCGCCAATGAGGCCATTGAAGCCTCCAAGTTAAAGCAAGCTGAGGCGGAGTCAAAGATGGAAGCACTTTCCAAAAAAAAAAACAATGACTTGAAAAATGAAGTCCATCTCTACAAAGCTAAAGTGAACGTATTGATGAAGCGTTTGGAGAATTCTGATAACCTTCAAAGGATCGCTTCGTTAGCCTTAGAGGCTGCTAATAATGAGAAGAGGGAGCTAAAGGCTCAAGTTAAAGAGCTGACTACTGAGGCGGCTAGTCTAAGGCAACAGTTAAGTGGGCAGGGGAGTTGATACCTTTACATATAAATTGAATTTTCAATAAAGAACTTCTAAGCTCTAATCTTCAAAGTTCTTGTTCTCTTCAAGTCTCTTTTTGATCACTTGTTCTTCAATGGATGACGATTTGAGCCTTTGAATGCTTAAGAAGATTTATACATGAAAACAAATTCAAGAAACAAGACTTGTTAGAAACATAAGTATCTAGTTTGTTATAATCAAAACAAATGGAGTTATATTTAATCACAGGTCAACAAAACGTGTGAGTAGCAAGAATATAACTTTGAGAGTCTGAATTTGCATTACCTTTGAATGGCACTAAGTGTGAGCTTTTATACTTGGACAGAATAAATGGAGTACAATGGATGATAGTGCACGTAGCCTCATCCAACGACTTCTTTCTCTTGTCATATACATCAATCAATCATAGCCTGAAATGCTAAGACCACTTTTGTATCTATAAAGCCTAACTTGTACTTTAAACTTAACCAAATAGGATGGCAGCAACGGTAGTGGCAGTGAGTTGTCTTGTCAACTCACATGGTATAAGATCCATTCAAGATCTCGTCACTGCCCAGTCTTGGGCCGGCTCTTGTAATGGGGTTTGCATGTAACGGGGTCGATCTAGGTGTTTTATATAGGGAAGACGGGTCATTTGCACCAAAATCGATTCGCATGCGTGTAGCTGGGCTACTCCTATGTCAGTGTATGAGGCATGAGCCTCTGAACTGTTCGCTACATAGGCTAATTAGGCCCTTTCATGGATCCTAGTTTTTCAAGGCATAACAAATAACACAACCAAGGAAATAATGAGTTTTGAGAAAATGTATAATTTCTTCAAAAAATGTTCCACATAAGAACCATAAACTTGATAATTCTTGGATTTTAATTCAGAATAGAGATAGCTATAGGAATTGAATTTTAGGAATAGTTTTTACTCGACACTTGAGCGAGGGAGTAAAATCACATCAGGGTTCTTGCTTATAAACTTGGAAAAATTGATTGGAGATAACTATATAATTGATGACATGGTCGATAGTTAGGTAAAATCACAACCCTAGGTTTTCTCATATTGATTAGTTCTTTAAAACTTTCATAAAATCGTTGAATTTGTCACAACATTCATCTTAGATTTAGTTTAAAACCATTTATATTAAATTTCAATTGTCTAGATAAAATAGAAGTTATTCAATTATAGTACTTGGTATAAAATTGATATTCGATCTCTGCTGATTCAATCATTATATTAGAAAATGTAACATTGTACGCTTGCGGTATAATTGTGGTATAGAAAACGCGTAACACATTTTTTACTATGTGTTAGATTATAAATTGTTGTAAAGTTGCATGTTAGGGTTTGATTTATACTTGTAGCACATAAGATTTTTGATTTGTATCGTGAATGATTAATTTG